GGGGGGGGGCTTGAAGGAGGCGGGGGGGGGGCGTGGCGGCGCTGCGCGGCTCCGGGTGAGCCCAGTTTGCTCTCGGCCGGGCATTCGTCGGGGATGGCGAACTGTAGAGTCTCTTGCTCGAGGAGGGGGTTGGACTAGAAGACCTCCGAGGTCCCCGCCAACTCTTGTCATTCTGTTATTCCGATTAGTGGATGTTGACCAGATGCTTTTGGGAAATGCCCTCAGTTCTTCCACTTCCTCTCTAATTACTACCCAGTGACCGAAGCTTTGCTCCTTTGGGCAGGGCGAACCTTTGGATGGGATGTTGGAAATCAACATGTCCGTAAACAGACGGCCCAGAATCACTTCACAATGGGTGGTGTATAAATTTAATAAACAAACAGACAAACCACTTTGCCACATTTTGTACAGATGTAAGGTCATGAAACTGACTCAAGAGATCTGTGGGAAGCAGACCTGCCCTGCTCAATGGCTGTGGATTGCCGAGCCCTAACTGATTATGTGCCATCAAGTTTTTTTTTACTGGCCCCACAGATGGATCTCTTCCACTACTATGGCTGTTAGGTTACTTCTGATTCTCCGTCTTGCTCACTGTCAATAGGCTCAGTTGCATTCATGACTGTAACCAGACATTTCCTAGCCGGAAGGGGGGTGTATTTAAAAGATATGGCTGCCCCAAGCAGACAACCAATACCTGTAATAAAATTGCCTAGTTGCATCTCAGCTTTTTTTATTCCACCTGTGGCCCTCTGCCCCCTTTTGTGATGTGGAAAACAGCCCCCTTTGCCCTTTTCTGATTCATTAAACTAGACTTTTCCAGTTCCTGCAACTGTTCTTCATATGTTTTAGCCTCCAGCCCCCTAGTAATTTTTGTTGCTCTTCTCTGCACTCTTTCTAGGATTTGAGTGTCTTTTTTGTACTGTGATGTATTAATCCTGATTATATCACAATGCAATCGTATCATGATTACACCACAGTTATTTCCTGATTATGTCATGTGATGTAATGATAAAATCATCAAAGAGGTCTCTCTTTTACGTGTGCAAGAGCTTAGCTACAGCTCGACTTTTTTGTCCCTCCCTTGTAGACATTCCTGTTTTCCACCATGGTTTTATTTCTCCCTTGGCCTCAGATGGAGCCACAGAGTTGCACTATCCGGTTGATTATTGCCTAAGTGATTGTTTTGAAATATCTAGGTTACTCTATTGAGTCAGAGCATGTATAATAAATAAAGAACTACACAATTCATCACCATTGTGTACCATTTGCTTACAAGTAAATCCTGCTCAGCAAACAATTTGGCCCTTTAAGGGCAGGCTGTCTGGAAGGAATGCGCTTTGCAAAGCAAGCGCAATCTGGAAAGGACTCTGTTTTGAAAGTTTCCTGTAAGTTCTTCCCTTTTCTTAATCTCAGGCTGAAATCTGCAACAGGTTGACCTACTAACCGGTCTGTTGTGAGGATTGCCTAAATCAAGCAGAAGTGCTTTATAAACCTGAAGTACATGCTAGGTATTATGATCTGTCAAAAAACTTAAATGAACCTGTAACCTCAACTGGGAGAGAAGTCTCTTTCTCGCAAGGCTGACGGGTGCTGCTGAAAAGACACATTCCGTCTTCTAAGTGCCTCTTGCAGACATTGTTCTACAATTATTCTTATTCTACGATGTTCCACAGGAGGTGTGAACAGGAACCTTCACCTGGAAAGGAATTGAGGCCTCAAAGGCCCCCAAGGCTTCTCTGCTTCCAGCAGGGGGAGCCACATGCAAAGTTTTGTCCCGGAAATAAGGATTTTAGGGCCATCCTTTCAAGACTGCTGCAATGTTTTGGTTTCTTTGCCAGCAAGTCCTTTTTTGGCTCTGGATGTCCAACTTCAGAGATGCTTGATCACCTTCAGAGTTTTTTCCCCACAGAAATGGAATCCCCTGGCTAAGTTCTTATCAATATACTCTCTCAGCTCTTTCAACTCTCGGGGGGGGGGGG